CACGCAACGAGTGACACCGTCTTTCTGTTCTGAAAGTGTCGCTGCTTCTGCAGCAGCATGGACGGTAAGTGGACAACGACGGCGACAACGGAGAACGGCTGCTCCGAGGGGAAGAAACTGCAGTCTTCTATGTTATTGTTTCCGACGCCATCGTTGTCTCTGATGCTGTTAATACTTCAGAGCTAATGGTACATAGAAGCGTCAAAAGCAGAAGAAGCGCCGGGTTTCCGAAAAACGTCGTTGCGTGTGGATGCTTGTCGGCGGCGACGTCGTCGCCGGTAAGGGTTCGCCGACGACTACCCAACCACTTGCTGACCGTTCTTCAGCCAACATATGCTGAAGAGTGACCTAAAGCCTCGGGCATCCAACTCGCTGGCGATGTTGCCGCAAAATTAATTGGTAAATGCCAAAGAGGAAGCGGCATTAGTATTGGATCGATCATTGCTTTTGTCTTTGTCTTCGTGCAAACACAGAAGCGAGCATCTTCACTTGCTCGTGGTCTTTTTCGCAGTCAATCAGCTCCTCCACGAGCGCTGTTAGTGTCGATCACACCCCTTTTCCGATTTGTGCCGTGAAGCTTCTCCGTAGATAAGGGCTCAAATGAATTCCCGGAGACTTCATCTAGCAGAAAATGTTTTCCGAACCTCGAGCTCACGCGCGAGCTTCTTTTTCTATTTCGATGTTCCACTGGGGAATTACATTTTGAAAAGTTTTTTTCTCTCCATCGTCGGAACGAATACTAGCACAAATTACAGGAGGCCACTCATCGCATCTTCAATCTCCACCGGAAGAGCTTCGTTTCGCTGATCAAAGCCGGCGGGCCTTAGCGGGGAGATAAGAGTTGAGTTTTAAAATAAGTCCGGTATTCGATTCCTCGATACCGCCCTTGCATGTCAGAAGAAATCGCTCATAGTCAGATCGATTTCGTGATGCAATTATGACCACGGTTTCCCGATCGACTATAGACAGTCAATATAAGGCTGCCAGAAGAAAAAATCATTGCTAATTAACACTTTGCGAAGAAAATTGGGGGAATCGTTCTGTCAGACATATAGATCCGGAGCGAGCTCCTTCGCTCGTCGGTGGCATCATAACATTTCTTTGTCTGGGGCACTGGTTTGTCCTGTGGAACGATGCCCGGAGCTGACTAGAACGTTGCGAGACAATCCAGAAATCAAACATTGAGCTTTGTTATCCGAATTGAAGAAAACGGGTTCGGATTCATCGTCGTGCTCACCATCATTCTTCTAATTTCGACGTCAGCAAGACAAAGAATTCAGTGAAGAATGCTCGCATCAATTTTCCCAACAGCTACGACTCGTCCCGATTCCACGCTCTGTGGTGGTTTTCATACTCTCCTCGTAATGATTCATCACTCAGAGAACGCGATTCCTCTCCGTTTAGACGGTGCGACCTCTCCCCGTTCCTCCGATTTCAGAGCTCCCGTATTATCCAATCAACATCATCAGACTCTCTTTCAAATGGGACATAACGAACGCATCGAGCGATTTCATTTACTGTGAGATTTGGTTCACGTGTGAGTCGGATCCATATCTGCGAGATGATCCGATACAGCGCGCCCTCCCGAAAAGTGTATCTTCTCCATCGGATGAGCACCGACAACATTTCATCCAAAATCCTTTGCCGACAATCTTTCGCAGCTGCTCTGACATGAGTCGGCGGAGCACTCAGAGGTAATAAAGCGTCGGCGCCGGCAGCACCAACAGCAGTTAATTTGAACACAGAATCCGCTTGGGACTCGATCACTGACCATCCGATCGTGCGTTACCCGAAGGCAACGAGTTGCAAAGCGCGATGATGATGCTTCCCTGCCAGCCAGCCGGCCAGCAAACCATCCAGCGCCAAGCTGAGGAATTTGGGACAAACTTTGTAACGACGAGGCCGCTGCCGTCGTGGATACCGCCGGCGCCGCACAACGGGCGGACATTCAAGTCACGGCCCCGGCGACAAGAAGGAAAATCAGCCAACTCGCTTGCCAACTCGTACATAGACAGTAGGAGCCCCGAACGGACTCACGCACGCGAAGGCTCTTCTTAAGTGAGCCCGCTTATCAGCTACACCAGTTCCAGTCACTGAAAGGTCGGAGTTGGTCGAGAAAAATGAGCCCCAGCCCTTCCACAGAGGAGAGAACCTCCCCGCCGTGAAAAGGAACCAACGATTCCATACATGCCAGAAAAAAGGACGCTCAAAGAAAAGAGAATATGGTGGTTTACCGAAAAGAACACTTTCTCCCGAAACCGTTTTTCTTCCTTTTTTCGCTGCACAGTGCGGTTCACTCGGTCGAAGGAAGACCTCAAGTCCCCCTCTCTCGAATCGATCGGCTCGTTCGTATCGATCATGCGCTCTTCTCGGGAGGCTCAAACCGTGGATCGCTAAGAGCAATGTGAAATCAGAACGCTAAGAGCACGCCGATCCCGCAATTTTCCCGAGCCAGGCAAGAGTTGGAGACTCGTCGTCCCGGCAATTCGTTTCGGACCGGATGCGTGTTTCCCGTTGCACACGAGAGTGGAATCTGCAGTGTCAGTGGTCATGTTGGGTTATGGTGGATCGAGGCAAAAAGCAGGATTATCCCCTCTTTCGCCCGAGGCTTTGCGAGTCGTCTCCCGCAGGTTCCGGCTTCGCCATGGAGTCTATCGGCTCATCTTTTCCAAGAAATTACGCTGAACGAGGTCCCGGAGCTACCATTCTGTACGTGTCATAGAATGAATGACTCTGGATCGGATTACTCGATTCCAGAGGCGTCGGTTAACTGCCATCTGTAGGCCATCAGGAAATCAGCTTCTGACTGGTCTGTTCCATCAAAGAAGGAAACGATTTGGGCTTACGGCCGGGGTACGAGCTACGCCGCCGGACCGACGTCCGTCATCCTGCGGAGAGTGTCGGCCGCCCTGCAAAGCAAAGAAGAGAAACTGGCCTAGGCGGAAATTCTGCCTGCATTTATAATCTGTAATTACCGTATCTTCATCTTGTGACCAACGCCGGCTACATCTCAACTTACAGTATTGGCCGTGCGACATGCGAGATTCGTTTCACGATAGCATTTACGGGTCCTCTCCCTTGAAAAAGGCATTCCACGTGGTTTACCTCATGCAGAGTTTCAGAGGCATCTCTCGGACAAGATGGACAAGGATGGTCCCGGAACGCACTTCAAGAAGCTGAGTTCCCTGGCAGTCGTCGCCGGAGAATAAGTCGGGTTGAGGAAAATTCCGGCTCGCTTGAGTACGCTCTGCCTCTCGAGAACCTCTTGAGTCATCGAATCGTTCCACGAGCGGTTCCGCAATTGGCGTGAATAATATCTTGACTATCGGTCGATAATTGTTGATGGACTCCGCTCCGGCTACCCCGTGATAGGGAACGCCAACGACTGCACCGGAACTCCTCGATCATAGATTCTCATATAGATCCATTCAGACCTCTCAGGGTCCTCATAGGATCCATATGCAGGGGGACCAGGGGGAATCCATGCTTTGGGAAGTGGAGTGGAGTAGGGAATCTGTGCTCAGTGATCCTGCACTACACGAACGAACGTCCGCATAGACTTGACAGGATTTCCGCCCGCGTCTCTGAGAAGGATGCGGTGCCATCCGCAGGGTCCAATCAGGAGGCTCTGAATGTTTGCAAGAGATAGATCAGCGCCCGAAGTGATGACGAGCTCCTATGATTGAGCGAGACGATCCATAGCCGAGGGGGAGGGGAGGCGTCTCACATTCACTTTGGCGGGAAACCTCGAGAACGGAATCGTGGAAGGCTCAATGCTAGGCGAGAATCGAAAAATATGCGCGGGCGTCAGGAGGCTTCCCCAATCGTCCGAGAACGGCGAGCTCTATCCGTCTTTCCGTGAGAAGAATCAATATTTGACTTCGAAGTACTTGCTCGTGCTTCTCACGCGACCAAGGGCTCCTCGGAGCTGGGAGTCTCGCTTCCGAAAACATTGCGGACACCATCTCAGACCCGACTAATCCGCACAAAGCGACGTTATCAATGACACGAAAATTCTCGACATGGAATTCTGATGACGCGATATCGTACTGTTCGAGTATAGTAGTGTCATCTGAGTCGGGAGCTTGCCAGCTTGCACACTACCAGGTCAATCCCTCTAGCCCTGCATCTCACACGTGCGAGAAACAGTGGCTCGGGTGATCGGGGGAAGCGTCCGTTCTACTGCGCGTTCCCGCCGCTGGAAGAGTCCAAGGGATCGTCGTGCTCCTTCAAGCTCGATTGGCGAACATTGGTAGCACCATCAGATGACCAATGATATCCATTCGTAGGTAGGCGCTCCGAGCGCTCATGGTCCCACCATCCTCTTAGGAAGCAGCGAATGATCGCTATTCACATCGGAAGTCATACCCGGGAAACTCCTTGATCGCTAGAGCATATGAGAGTCCATTCTATCGGTTTCGTGTCTCGTGATACTCGGGATTACATTAGAGAAGAATTTGCCATGGGAAGATGCCGGAAGATGCCTAGTATAACTTCAATATGAATGACGTAGGATTCCTTCGGCCTGTCGAGCGGCGAACTGACTTGACTCCTCAAGCATTGATCCATTTTGGGAAGTCCCAATGAAGAATCCAGCCGAACCGCAACCGCGTCACATTCAAAGCGCCGATGGCACGGAGTTCGACAGGTTCCCCAGTCTCCCGCGGATTCATCCTTAGATCTTAGGCTGTGTGAGTACGCAGTCGAGCCCGGGGGGAGGCATTCGCCTCGATTTACGTGGTGCCCTCCGATCGAGAACGTGGCGCAGGACTTGAGTGATTCCCCTCGGTATTCACGATGTCGCTAGCGGGCATGTTCGGTCAGTCCCTCTGCGGAGGCAACCGCATTCTCGACATTGTTTTGATCATCTTTGGCGCCAAAGTATGCTTGGAGAAGAGTATCTACTCCAAGAGTCGCTGCTTCACCTCCGTCCAGCTGCACCGAGTCGTATTTCGAATTTGTGCCGCGTTCACTTGTTGTGCCTCTTGTGGCGGAGAAGGCGAGGAGAGAGCCGGGGCAGCCCTGCATCGCGGGCGACTTCTGACGGTCGCCGAATCTTTTTCTCCGTTCCTGAGGTTTTCTTTGATACAGCACGGGTCAGTTTTTCTCTTCAAGACCGATGGGTACATCTCCGGTCACGTTCCATGAAGTTCATGGTAAGTGTCCGCGTGACATCGTAGTTTAGCCGAGAGTCGGAGCCGTGAATCGTTAGCGTCGTCAGAGGTATGAGTAATCCTCCATGAAAAATTCGGGCGAGCAGTTCTGATGGAAGTGGTGCCCGAGCAAGCAGAGATACTCAACATGGTCTCGAAGCAGGCACTCCCTAGGTCCTTCCTCGCTAGATTGACGGAGCAGTGCCGTTCCCTGAGTCTTCGGGAAAATCCTCTGAGAACGATTCGACGATGTCCGATTGGCTCTGTTCGAGACTGAATCCCTCTCCCCCATGCATAGATGGTGTTTTCTCAACCTCAATCCTCGGTGCTAGAATTCAGGTCCATATTTGGGAAGCCAATCGACTAGTCAACCGCCTGGCAGACGTTATTTCATGCTTTTATTGTTAATCCCGATTCCCATTTGAGAACACGCACGAATAAGATAGCGGAGGATTGATTGAGCTCTGTATCAGATTCTGCTCTTTTCCACGAACGCGAGACAAATCACGGTGATACGCTTCTCACTCAATTGATTGAATAGAAATGGAGGGGATCTCTTATGGATTCTGTCCCACAGCTGTTCCCCGCTATATTTCTTGATGATTGCGCAAGCCGTTCAAGGTCGGTTTGCTCAGTGTTTTGTAGCATTAGGGATCTTACCTCAAGTCCCTATCGCCAAGCGGAGATTTCTCGTCGGAAACGGCTGCTTTTGAGAAACCTCGCGCACTTTTGGAGGCTGGCGAAGGGTACCGGTCCCCCAACCTCCACATTGCCAGCATTTCGCACCGATAAATACTCCTCCGGTTCCTCCTATTATTCGATGATATCCCGCTCCATCTTCATTATAGGCCACAACATCGTCATATCCAAAGGAGGATCACAAGCCACGCGGACTGAAAGCTTTAATCAAGCTCTATGTTTCACCAATCGCCCCATTGCTCAGAATGAGAAGATTGTCATCAGAATTGCGGAGGCATCTAGAAGTAAGTCAATGCCGCGTGAGCCCGGTAGCATTGCTCGGAGGATAATTTCCATTCCAAATTTCCGGTGTTATTAGAGTTCTTGACGTCAAAAAAAGAATCCCTCAGCCTCAAACACAGCTTTTTTAAAAACAGACTGGAGTGGATCTCTCCGAGTAGGAGTAACTGAGCACGATCCCTCTTCACTGGCTCGAAACCTTCCAAAATTCATGTGCCCGGATTTGAACAGGGAGCCGGGCAATTATGGCAAGGCCCTGGAAGAAAGTCATGTGAGACTCAAAAAAGAGATTGTGGTGAGTGGAGATTAGCAACGTACGGTTATATCTTGGCAAACCATTAGGAAAAGGCTCTACGCTCGTCTCGCCAAGCCGTCGGATCGGAACGCTTTAATGCAGAAATTTGCCGGTGTGGAACGATATCTAGTATGGTTTTGCCTCCGCCAGATGTACCACAGGAATGGAAAGGTGATGATTCGCGATGGTGACCAGGTACCAGAAGAACTCATCACCGGTGAGTTCGGAGGAGGCTCGATTTGTAATTCTGGCGATACAGACTCCCTTGAGGAGCCGGATATCGTCTCGTTTCATGCTGATATCCTCGCCTACCGAGATCTGTGGTATCGACCGTGAGCGTCGCCCTCTTTAGAATCCAGAGTATGGAATATGTGAAAACCCAAAAATTACAGGTGTTCCGACCACCAAGCCTCTGTACTTCGTCTTCGACGTGTACGGGAACACGAAAAGTATTTGCATCGGTCCCCTCGGAGACGGTCAACCATCTATCGCCCCCGTGACTCCGACGCCGAAAGTGGAGAGCAAGGCTTTCCGTGAGTCACTTTAACGACACTCTCGTCGAGAGTGTAACTCGTTTGATCTTCCTTTGCATACGTGACAGCCGCGCGAAATCTCCCCGAGAAGCCTCAGCAACGTTGAGTGTCTCATTCCAGCGGGTATCACCTTCCGTCAGGCCCACTTCGCTCCCTTCAAATCTGAAGAGCTCACGGTCACTCGCTCCGCAGCTCAGAGCACGAATAATTCATCTTCCGCGGCTCTTTTCGCCGTCACCGGATCGAAGTTGAAACCAGAGGAAACCCTTGTCGTGAAGCTGGAAAAACTTGTGAAAAGCTGCCGAATCAATTTTGTGCTGACTACGGAAGAACCAGCCCGCGTACATGCCTGTCGAGACCTCGGGAAACTCTGCGATACAACGTACTCTCTCGCCGTGGAATCCGAGATGTGCAAGGCCGGAGACGAGCTGGCTATAAACATCTCGACTAACGGCGCTGTATGTATATCTCTCAATAACCGCGGGTGGCAAGAACGAATACACGTGGACACGGACATCGCTTACCATGTGGCTTTCGACATGGCGAACGTGTCTTCCATGACAGCGATAGGAATTACGACCGATCTCAAACCTGAAATTGATCGTCCACCGGTGAAATCTGAGCCCTTCCGTGATGCGAGTCTTCCCCCCGATTGCATCGTGTGCCTCGAGAGCCCTAGATCCGTTCTCCTCGAGCCGTGTGCTCATTTCGCTCTTTGTGAACTTTGCGCTCATGCTCTTCAGAAATCGGAGAGACGCGAGTGCCCAGTGTGCCGCGCTCAAATCAAGGGCGTCAAGAAGATATACATGATCTGAAGACGATTCTGCCTTGAGCTCCTGGCCCTCGGGCCCTCTTACACCATTTTGTACCAGGAGGTATACAGCTAAATGTCGATATCTACCGAACAATATGTGTTCTTGAGCTGCGATGATGATGATGCGACAATTGATTGACGATCTTTAATCCAAATGAAGAATACTTTTTAACCTTTCCATGACACATTTTTGATATATGCTCAAGCAGATCGGATTGTGTCCCAGCAGCACTCGGCAATAAAACTATTGTTTCTTGTTGATTCGCGATGTATTCAACTTAGGATATGTAGACGCGGCCGTAGGAAAAGACACCGATTTCACTTCCTAGTACTTTTTTATTCCGTCGTCTGTCCATTGTTGATATTGTTGTTGTAGTTTTATTGAAAATCCATCTCGATTCCGGTCGGAGATGCGCTCTTACTCTACATTTATCTCGTTTGCCTTCCAAAATTAAATTAATGATCAGTGATTCGTCATGCGCGGCTCGGGCTCCGCGCACGACCGCTCGCCGCAGCAGCTCGTTGAGTGTAGGTCAACGGGCAGTATTCGGATGAACCCGTCCAGGAGCTGCAGCGGACGATCAGCGCCCTCCAAGTCGGAGGAGTTCGCTGATGCGATTACGGTTTGATGTATATTCTATCCTAGCCTCCTTAGATTATTTTTCTTTCAACGAAGATATTCGGTTCCGTCCGTCGACAACCACGGGTCTACTTGTGCGCCCTCTGTCACGCCGAGGTCGGCGAGTGGTCGAACGGCAATCTCTTGCTATTATCGAAATAAGTGTGATCGTGTACTGGGGTGAGTCTTTAGGTGATTTGAAACTATCGAAATCGTTCCGCCCGTTCCGCTCTTCGTCGACATCACTCGCCCTCCTGCAGGGACCCTACAGTCGGCCTCTCGACACTCGTGTCCGTCTCTGTGTGGATGTTTGAATGTGTTCGTCTGTTAATGTCGTTCTGCTTTCCAATATCTTAACTCTCAAACCTGAGTGCCGGACGAGTGAACATTCCGTTCACGCTCTCACGGCTTCTTGCCATACAAGGCGATGTCTAAAGACGATCTCTTACGGTATATTTCATCCATCCATCGATCTCCCACTCTCAACAGATTGTTGTTTCTAACAAACATACTCGCAATTTCCTGGACGAGCCTCATCCTGCGTGAGATGCTCCGAAACAAATCCGAACTTTGATCAGCATTCACTCCAGTGTTGAAGGTGCGAGAGCCGGGAAAAAATGGATCCCCGGAGATCCATCGAAATTCAGAGCGTTGATAGCCGCTCGCACGCAAACCGAGAACTGTCTCGCGGTTCCCTGAGTCCAGCATAAGAGGGGGATCCGTACATCTGTGTAAACGCCTGCCTCAACGGACAGGTAGAAGGAGCGGGATTCAGAAAATGATATAATGCCTCGCGAAAAACGAAGGTCTCCCCCCTTGGGGAGAGCTCGGGATGATCTCCCCCCCTCTCCGCCTAGGAGGCAAATCCGTCTGTTTCGGGTGAATATCTCAAACTCAGAAAAAGATATGAAGTTTGAATGGCCGATAAATCGCCTCGCCGTGACACTGCGCCGCCAGCGCTGATTGTCAATGTAGGTAGTTAGGTTGATAGTTGGATTGCTTGCTTGCGGGTCTGATTGGGTGATAGATAGAAAGATAGATGGATGAGTTTTGTCAACGTTTCCCAGCTGTTCGAGTAAAATGAAACCCTCTCTCCTACTGCAGTCCGGATGTCCGACTCCGGGTTCTGAGAAGATTCCGCATTTACATCCGAATTTTGAAACCACGCTTCTGAACAAAAGCGACTAATTGGTTCGGGAGCTTTGAGAAGTTATCATAAGTTTCCTTAATTCGGCGTGCGATAGGATAAGGGGAGAGGAGGATGCGAGTTTCCTTCAGAGGAAGCTCATTGAGCTCCTCGTTGAAACCGAGCAAGATAGAGAGGGGATGGTTCTTGCGTAGAAACTCATTGGTCCCTTGATTGAAACTCGCGAAGCTCGAGAATCGGAGATGGGAGAGTTTTCTCTACCAGAAGAAATCTCGCTATGCTCGAGTTTCGTTCATAATCGTTCGCTCAGGAATACCACCGATTGAGGAATGGCCGGAGTGAATGAAGGCATCTAGGTAAATGGATTCCCATATCGTCGCTGCGCTGATATACCACGCTGTCACTTAAGTAGGAGAGGGCACATTGAGGGCGAACAGGTCTGTGAGAGGTGTATTGTTTTTCTTGTTTGACGCCTAAAGAAACCTGCGAACGTAGGTATTCAGGTCAACTAAGGATATGTGCACGCCGCATGCCAAGGCCGCATCGACTAGAAAATATGTACATTGTATGTTTTTTTTATAATACATAACGACCCTTTGGCTGCAAATCATCATGGAGAACCTAATGGACAAACGGCCGTTCTGGAAGAACAGGTGTCTGTACAACGCAGAGGTACGAACGAACTCTCTCGACTCCAAGCCTTATGAGTGTTTGATGATGAGTTCTAACCCGCTAGCTAACAGTTCAATGGATGCCCGGAAGCGTTGAGTATTGCACTTTTTCCCCTGCCGTTGTCTAGGGATTTGTATTTTACACATTCCTACGATCCGCGAAATGGGTTCCCAAATCATCGAATCTGACGAAAACCGTCGTAAGCATCGTGAACCGCGATTCGCTCTTTTCCTTGATCTCACTGGCCCTTCGTTTCCACGACGGATAACGGGGCGGCAGGGTAGATACTATTGCTCATAACCCCATCGGTGGGACAAATTCTGGATCGAAGAATCCATCACGGGCTCCAGCCCGAACACCGGGTGAGTTTCCGCGAGGTTCCGAGCGAAGGGCAGGATGCCGACACGGCGATCATCCGGACAATTTCATCAGGTAGCAGACGGTGGTCAGAAAACAGTGAGTGAATGAGATGGCCTCGTGTCGTCATAGAGATCGTTATATACACAAACACTCGCACGCACTGAAGTCTGACTGAATTGATCGCTTGGATTGCTTGCTTAATTTGTTGAACGAATGACAGAAGTCCATCCTCCACCCAACGGCGGCAGGTTCAACTCTAACAATTGTCGTGTGTTGATCAATTCTCCCGTCCACGCATTCAATCGAGGCATTCATACTCTCGCATTATATCATCCATACAGCGCTCATTCATTCATTCAATATCCATCCATTTATCACTCGAATAATATTCCGAAGTTCGGCGCGCCGCTGCTCGAACGTTCGCAGCTTAAACGTACCACTCTTGAGGGTCTTTGCCCTCGGAAGCTTTCTTGCCGCCTGCAGCACTAGCCATGCCTTTGTGAAGCGTGGAGAAAGGGGGTACGGCTTGGCCTCCGGCTGCAGGCGTTCCGTAAGGAATGCACGTCCCATTCAATGAGTTATGGGGTGGACCTAACGGAGCTGCTTCTCCGGGCACCTGTACACATGGATTGTAGTACAAGTTGTTGGGTTTGCATGAGCCACCTGGTCTGCTTTTGAACCGATACAGTAGCAAGGCAATTATCACGATGCTGATGAGGATCCCGGCAATGATCCCGATAATCAGAGCCGTTCCATCTGCCGCGGCGGTATCGACGCGTGGAGGTTGCTGTGGAAGCAATTTAGATTATTCGATCTTGATTCGTCTGAACGGTCACGCAGGATATGCTCGATGCGGCGAGTCGATAGGGAACATAGACAGTTCTCCGATAGCGGAGCTCTATTCTCACCTTGGCGATCTCTTTGTTCATTTGCGTCGGGACGTGTACCTCGGGAATGGGTACCGAGAACACCTCGGGTATACCGGCTGGAATAGCGACAGCGATTAGAGCTCCAATGAGAGACTTACAGGAATAGCTGAGCATTGGGGATCGGATTCGATTCATGGACGATTCGGTTGCTCCGAGGAAGTACTTATCGGAAGATACTTGGATTGACATGTTCCCATGGTTAGTCGGGGGGTTCCCCAAAACCCTCTGATTTTATCGCAATGCACTTACTCGATGTTGTTCTGGGCTTGAAAGGCGTTCTGGTCGGATATGTTTTGATGATCCACGGCTCTCGCGTGGTGCTGGATGTCGGCGGTGCTGGAGTTGTGGTCGTCGTGGTTGTACTGGTGGTTGTCGTTCTGTTGGGATCGAGGAAACTCATTGGGACTTGTCGCGAGACGAGGCCGCGATTCTATTGCGTTTAGACATCGACAGATTGGCAGGAAAAAATTCAAGGAATCATTCTGCATAGATGACGAACCTCGCTGTCGTGGAGTGACCCGCGGATTCGTAAGGGGCGCGCGGGGTCACGACTATGCCCGGGGGTGAGGCTGAGAAATCCACGTTGTTTCCCGAGCCTTCCTCGACGCAGTCCTCGTCGTCGTGGCACGAGTAGATTTTCTTGGGACGTGACGTCGTCGAAGTCGTCGAGGTATATTGCGAGCTGATCTTGCGTTGTGACGGAATGTATACCGCGGTAACAAGCTCGTCCCCAGCTGCAAATTGAATGTTTGTGGGATGTTAATTCGCGGACGGCTCAGTGAATCATGTCTGCCTCTCCAAGCGTTCATTCATCAGACGAGGCCCCGTCCCATGCCAAGGATATCCCCCACAACACGACAGCGGGTGAACACAGACCAGAGTTGCTTTCTCCGACACCGCAGTCGGCGTCATCATCATCGCTTTCATAGCATCCAGATCCTTCCGAATAGACAAGGTCGTCTCTTTCATAAACCTCGACAGGTGGTTTGGAATCCTGCAACGAGAGTGGAACAGCGACCTTGGAACGTGTGCGAGGAAACAGAGCTGAGTGAGATCTCCAGCGAGGAATCATTAGCCCCAGGCTTCCAGCCGGATCTTCTCTCTCTCTCTCCCTCCTAAATAAGCAAACACTAAGGAAACATCCACTAGATGTGCACTGTTCCGTCGTATGCGGGTTTCGAAACCTTGTGAGGAACTCACGCTTGGCATCAGCGGTTGGTCTCCGAGACTCTGTGAGGGGCTGTACTTGCTGTGTCCGATTGACGTCAGACGGGTTGCGTCACCTTGGACAACGATGTCACCCGTGTCCGGCGAGAGATCCAGAACCTGTGGCCCATCAACAACGGCGGGTTGGAGGAGACGGAGGGAAACGGACGAGATTAGTGGAAGAGCGCGAGGAATGGAGAGTGCTCCAATGTTCGAGAAGCGAATGCTATGCTCACCTTGATGGTGTCAAGAACCAAACCAGCCAAAATTCCTCGGAATCCCTTCGCGACCGCGGTTGAAGATAGGACCCCGCCGACTTGAATCTTGACGTCGGCCGACGTCGCCGAATCATCGGACTCCTCGTCGTCTGTGGAATTCACAATCGATGCGATTTAGAAATATTCACTACTTTGAGAAATCCACGAGCTGATCCCGTCAAGAGACGCTCTGACTCACGTACCGTCATCGTATTTGCTCGGCTTGTGCTTCCTCGTCTGAACTGGCAGATCGTCCAACTGCAGCGTGGAGGCTTTGATTTTATGAGTGAACCTCACAACGTGGTATCTGCCGTCGTTGAGGAATTGACCGGGCTGATTGAGTGCATAATCTTCGCCACCGACATTATACACGACGAAAATGACTCCATCGATCTGTAACAGATATGATGGACGTTTCTCGAACATCGATGACATCACATTTTCAGCTCCTCTCCCTCGATCGACGCTAGCAGCTATTCGCCTTGTTCGCCCTCTCAGAAACGATCGCGACCGAATAGGTACGACTCGCGGAGGCGGCCCGGCCGGAACAGGCCCGCACGAGACTACCAGGGAGTCGACAAGTATCCACAACAGGCGTAGCGTGAGTCTCACGCCGTGAGACTACGCACAAATACTCACGATTTCAATCTGTATGTATTCGTTCGTAGCGAGGAATTCGATTCTCACGATGACAGCGTTATCGATCTCCGAGACCAGGCCCAAAACTAGAGAGTCGCCGGAACGGGGTCTCCGGACAGCGCTCGATGTCAGCAGCAGACCGTTGCCGTTGAATTCATAGGCCGTACTCTCTGGATTCGAGGAGAAGGCAGAAAAGTTTTAGTCGTTGCGTAGGAGGAGAAGTCTAATCACCGCGACCGTTGGCGGGAATCCGTCTCTCCTCTGGGCAGAGAAAGCCCCTCCGCGATGCCAGACATTTTCCTAGTGCGTTCCTCCGCCTCGGAAAACATCATTCCCCATTCAGTCTCTCGCTGTACGCTCCTCCGATCCGAGGAACTAGTTCCCGCGGAAAAGATGCCTCGAAAGTGTCGATTCGTGTCGCAAGTCCGGGGGAGTGGATGAACTTGTGAAACTCCGCGCGCCCTCAGCGACAGCTTCTGCCTTTTGGCTCACGGGGGATTTCGATACAACACAAGAAGGAGTCACTCATCGTATTTTCGGAAAGACGGAAAAGACGAACACGAAAAGAAAGCTGGTCAGCTTGAGCTCGACACGAGTTGAGGGTAAGGTCCCGCGGGGAAAAATGCTCCGAGAAGCTATCGTTCTCCGTTTACCTTGGGTGCATGTGGCCCCTTTGAACGATGTGAAGCTGCAGTCGCACGTGAACGTTCGATCTTCATCGCGTTCCTGGCAAAGCCCGCCGTGAGCACAGGGTTTGTGACTGCATCCTCGCAGAGGCGCTGCTCGGCACATAGAAGACGGAAGAAAAGAAAACACATAAGTTCATTCGGTCGTTGGTCGTTAGCGCTTTTTGCGGAATGACTACCGGACATGCGAAAGCGCTTTCTTGGCTGCCAGAAGTCCATGAGCGAACAGACCGGGCTTGCTCGTGCTCTTTGTGGGTCCTTGCCAAACAACGAATTATTTTCCTAAACAAATCATGAGACACGTTCCCCGAATTATTCTCTTTGTCGACTTTGACGCCACTTATGCAGCCGAATTCCTCTTCTGCGCGTCGGAAGGGAAGCTAGAAACGCTTGACGGAAGATAGACTCAAACGTTCTGTGACCTTGAGGGAAACAGGGAATCGGCGATGGGAGGGAGGATAGGGGAGAAGGCACGTCGGAGAAGAGAGAATCATGAAGGATCGCGGCTCCGGAGCCGGAGCGCGGGTTCAACGAGGGCAGAAGAGAAGGAGGAGTCGCGAGAATCAGGAGAGATACACAGAGAATAGAAATGAAGCCGAAGACACAGTTCGTCGGGCGGCGGGGCGAATCCTGGGGGATCGTCAGCTGTCGCTGCGTGAAGTTTCCAGGGACCGAAGGAAGCCCAAAAATATCTAAAAAAGAATAGCAGCTGCTCGGCATCATCGATACCGTCGACCGACCGCCGCGCTGTCCGTGCGCCGCAAGTCGTGGCGACCAGTAAAGGGACCATCCAACAAGACACACTTCGCAAAGAAGATTAAACTTTCTCCGGTGACGGCGGTCAGACTCATTTCCTGTGCACAGCTCTCGTCGTATCGGGTCGGCCACTCCTTAGACCGTGCCCTGCAAGCACCTCGCCTTCCCCTCGCCGGATCCGTTCGCGGTGCAAAGAGTGTATTTTTGCGATCCGTTACCTCGGAAGAGAAAACCTTCCAAGCAAATATCCATTTAGCGGGCTCTTGCATAGCGGGCAGCTTTCCTCGACCGGGAGAGACTTCCCGACAACGAGCGAGGGGCCGTCCTCCCAAGAAAGTTCAGGAGAAGCTCATCATTGCTTGAATTCAGATCCCCATTCCACCGATGGCGGATAATCCGCGTTCAGCGAGTCCAAAACGTAGAAGCTCGAGCAGCCTCGACCTGCGAGCACATGGACTTTCTACAATGACAGAGCTAGCCGCTTTACAGGTCGATTGGTTGGTTGGCCGCTGGGACGGACGGATGCGGTGGCTAATTTCGCTTGTTGTCAAGGGAACCGAGCCCGAAGGTTTTAGCGGAACATCACACGGAATTCACTCACCCAGACATCCGGCTGTCACCGTGGCGCTCGGTATAACTGCCTCCGACACGAGACTGATTGACTGACCGTTGACATCTTCGACGCTAATGCAGCCCGAGTAACCGGTCCGTGATTTGAGTTCGGCAGGAAGGGCGTTGTAGTCCCGGACTCCACCGATGTAGACGAGCCCTGCAAGACGGAGCAGAAGGGTGCCCTTGAATCCTACAATGGAGAGGAACTCACCGCCCAAGTACGCCCGGAACTGCCGATTCGATTTGCGGATGAGAAAAAGAATCTCACCTTCGAGCAGACCAACGTCGAGCGGTTCGACGGCTCCGGCCTCGTCGTCGTCGATCCGTAACCGGTAGAAGCCCGTGACGAAATGAACTCGCACCGAATGCAGGTTGTTATCGTTGAGAGCCTTCTTATCGTGGATGACATTTGTTCTGTCCGGTCGAGCGACAATCAGTTTCACACGGGCTTCATCCAACTCGAGGGAAACGCAGCTTCCGTTCGCTCCGGCCCAATGGAACAGAAGACCGTTGTCCACGGCGGGACGGAGCCGCAAATTGATCGACATTCCCCGGAACGGAGAGGAGCTCAACGCGACGAACGACTGCGGTGTGGAAAAGGTGGAGAACTGTTCCCCGCTCAGCTGCACGGCGGAGTCGAAGTTCGATTCCAAGTTGAATCCGGAGATTTCCCCGCTTGCGGCCAGTGGCTCGGAGATGGGGGCCTGATTGATGCTGAGATGCTGAATTTCGCCGACGAACGAGGACGATACGTCAGCGCCCAGAGCTCTCCCGAAGCGGATAGATAGCAGTTTCAGCTTCGGGTTGGGCGGCGTTTCTGTGAATGGATGGGAATTCTTTTTCTCTCTCCGAATAGTTGGCTACAATTTTCCCGCGTTCCGAACGGTCGCCTAGTACATAAACCGCATGAATTACCTGCGAATGTGGATTCCTGGTCGACCATTATGGCGACATTCGAGCCGGTCCTCAGGATGCGGACGAAATGCCACCGATTGTCGTCGAGTCCGTAGCCGGTCTGAGTGACCACCTACAAAGACAGGCGAACTCGGCTTATAGCTCACAATCGTTCAAAAAATGATCATGGAAGTGTCTGATGACTCGAGAATAGCCGAGAAGTCTCCGCTACGGTGAGGTTTTCCAAGGGCCGAAGGTTCGCCTTTCGTTCAGCGGGAAGAGGGAGCCTTAATTTTTTGTCTCCGGCAACTCACCTGGGACGTGTTTTTATTCGAGAAGCTGTATACAACCCTGAATTTCCCATCTTCAAGACTTGCTCGAATCAGCTTGTCGGGATGAGAGGAGAAGACCGGTCTCGAGGCTTTTTCGGTTCTAAAACGAAATACAATCTCCTCGGCCGAACTCTGCTGGTTTTCGGTGAGCGCGGCCGTGATGTGTTCGGCGCCTGTGAAGCGAAGAGTGTTCGCGGCTGCAAGAGGAGAAAAAATTCTCCGTCAGACTCGAGTTGAATATTTCTTCTTTCTTTCTGCTTGCTTGTACTGTCTTCGAATGAGGTCAGCCCCGCCAGAGCTGCCTCCAATCCACCGGACTCGTCAAAGCGAATCCTCCGTTCCCGTCAGAAGTTGCTGAGTAGCTCCAGTCGGTGCCTCGCAGGCTTAAGGCTTCGAGGAAAACGGTCGGAGGAATCAACCGATTGAAGGGCGAGCAAAAAAGGAAATGGGAGAGCACGGAGCTACATGTATCTATCCAGTGTCTGTGTGAGGAGGGAAACAATCGTAATTCTCAGATGCAATGAATCCTTACGTTGTTCACAGGTGGGTCCTGCATACTCGGTCCGAGAGCAGTCGCAAACGAAACGATTCCAACCTTCGTTACAGATACCCCCGTGATAGCACGGACTCGAAGAGCACTTTGGAGGAGAACGTACGCAGCCGGTCTGAATGGCCTGGGAAACGTGAGCCTTAAGGTCGAATCTTTCTCCGGCGATCGTTAGATCACGCAGACAGCCTACGAAACCTCGGTGGATAATGGCTTCCGACCAGAGACCTGCAAGAAAGACTCGGAATCAGTTTCCTGCAATTTCGACTGTCGATTGAGAAGACGAGCGACCCGCGAATCGCTGTCGGACCTTCAAACCCGTTCGGAATTTTACCCGTTCGGCCCGTCGACATCTCGCGATGAGAAACCCGTATCGGACACTCCGAGAGAAAGTCCCCGGACTCGATCATTAGTGACGAATTAAGATCGCTCAGCGGATTATCCCGGCCGTAGATCGGAAGTTGATCTTCTCAAGAGGAGAAGAGTCTTTGGATGAATTGAAGCTCTCCGATAGAGAACGCCCATCATTCAAAATGTTTTCCTTCAGCCTTGAGTGGAAGCGTAGTCGGCTCAGTTGTTGAACGCATCCAGTGGTCGTCGATCAAGAAGCATGAACCAGAGAGCTCGGATGGGAAACGGAAGGAATCGAAAGCTCGCTTCAAAAGAGCTTTGCTGCTCTGGCGGCTGTAGCGGCTGTGAGGGAGAAAGTCAGAACAGATGCGCAAGTCGCTCGACGCATTAAGGCTCGTGTAAGGCTCAAAGTAATGGCGGAGGATTTAGCTTTTTTCCCTCCTTTTCCTCCGTCGGACATGATGTACATCCGTATCATGCGCCACTTTCTGTTCCTCGGCCTCTGGGCTGGCCGACCGGCTCAGACGGTCGATCCGATGGCTACTTGAGTGGCATACGAGATTGACTCGGGCGGCCTCATACCCGCCGAAGCCTCGGCACAGTTTCATGAGGAGGGCTCGCCTCAGTGCGCTTAACGTGTTGAGTTAGCGCCCACAATAATGTTTCGACGAGTCCTCGTTCAAAGCGTTTCCGCCACCGACTGACGCGCCGGTTGTGGTTCTCGAACAAGCTCGAATTTTGTCTGTGATGGCCGAGAAAATGAGGACCACGGTGGGGGATCGCGAGGGAAAATGTCTACCGCGCCATTCGTCCCACTGGGTGGCGCTTCCGCTTCCTCCTTAGACTTCTGCAAGTTCTTTCCGTAGGCGACCCCGATCGAGTCCTCCATCGAATAATTTATTTCCCTCTATACAGTGCAAGCGAGCGAAATTCCAAGAAAGGGCTGAGGTCATCGCGACCCTCGAGGCACATTCCCTGTTCTCGGACATGTCTAATTCATCCTCGATACTTAATTCATCGAGTCCGATACTGACGAGTGATCAAGAACGAGCCGAGTATGAAATTTTCATTAGAAAAGGAAGAAAAAGACATCCGTAAAAAGCTCTGAGGTCCACTCTCACGCGCAGAGTAAAGCGGCGCGACACACGATGCTCATGCGAAGGTGAGGCCTCGCTGAGCGGCTCGGTCCAGGAGAAACCCTCGATCCCCTCATGGAGTCCCTCCTGATCGCATTTTTACGTCTCTCCCCCTTGTCTTCGGAACGGGCCAGTGCTCACAGAGATTATCCGGCGCGTTGCCGCGGGTAACGGAAGGAGCCACTGTTGTTGGCTCCGCGTCGGGCGTTTGAAGTATTAATATCACCGTTAGTTAATCAATCATGCTTAGGCGTCTCGTGGAGAACTCACCGCTCGGATAGCTGTTCTTGCCGAGGCTAAGCCCTCCGACGAACAGGGGGCCTGCAGTTTCGTACAAGCTCGCGGGTGCGCCATGAACTCGGAATTCTCTGCTCGAGCTGTCTGACTTGAATATCACGTATCCTGTTCGGTCCATCGTGAGGCTCAGCTTGTGCCATTGACTATCGGCCATCGACATCGGGAGAGTGACTCGGCGTCTGTAGCCGGCAACGCCGATCCTCAGTTGTAGTTGTCCTTGATTAAGTTCGATAATGAAGTAGAATGCTCGCTCGAAGTGCGACAGAACGGATGGTGATGAATAAACGAGCACGCCATTTTCCTCGTTGGTTCGAAAATGCAGGCTTATTTCGGATTTGCGACTGGCGTGCTTGCGCGGAGCCCACGTCGGAATTATCTGGAACGATGGAGACATTGCGAGTCGCTGAAATACTTTTCCGGGAGTCTGAGGAGATCATCCGATGTCGGAACCCTATTCTGAATCGTAGTAATTATTATGGACGGCTGCGAATAGAGAGAGCGAGCGCTGAATGTCCGCCACTCACCATAAACGAATCAGGTGTGAGGAAAGACACCACTTGTTCCTTTTGGACCTTTTTCGGAGCTGCTTTCGACAACGAGGAGCCCCCACTGTTGCGACCGCCGCTCGGTTGACATTTGAAATCTACCGATCCATTAGCGCCTAATAGACCCATGTCGCTTTTTGCCAGTCGCACTAGATCCAAGAAGAGTCCAGACGATGTGAGCTCGAGCTTTTTCAGGCATCCTTCAAAATTCGCGCGCCCGTCCCGTGACGTCCCGATGAGGATGGTCGACGCCCAATGTGCCGACACATCGACGAGAATCCTTTCGGGAGTCTGCTGGTCCACCGAGAGATCGATCTGAGAAGGAGATATCGTTTTTATTCGTTCACATCTCTCGGCGAACAACTCGTTCCCTGCGGGTCCCCATCAACGGCAGTGGTTTCCGTGGAGATCTGGCCCGCGACAGCGTCGGAGCCAGCCGTGCCCAGCTCTGCTTATTACATGAATCATTTATATCATCTCGGTGCGGATCTCGACGGATTTCCTACCTCGCGAGTGGTCCGGGTGAACCTCACTTGATGCCACTGTCCGTCATCAAAGAGCCCTCTCACCGCGAGGCTATGAGACTGACCGGATGTCCTCAGAGACACTTCGAGTAAGCCGTCACGCAGCTGTACGAGAGCCGAATCGCCCTGCTCATGATATAGGTGCAGAATGACTCCTAATAATGGAACAAGAAATCCGGGCTTAGAAACCCGCTCTGAAGAAGAGCTCTGAATCCATTCCCTTCGACTCGATCGACCCGTCTATTGAAGTAAGTGAAGACTTTCTGGACAATAAAGGTCTTCCTAGACCTGATGGGCATTTTTCTCGTAAATTCCCCTATTCTGTGAACACAAAGCCGATACCCGGCTTGCTCGTCTACCCTCGTGATCAAACAAACAAGGCTGCGGCATACCGACGATCAAAATGACCGAAATGGCGAAGTCGACTTGGAATCATCCTAATTGTGTCGATATTGATTATGGATCTCCATGCTGATCCCAAAGGACGACAGATGACGGCAGAGTCGGAGACTTGCACCGACAGGCCACTGGAGTGAGACTGTGAGTTGCCCGGAGAGGAGTATCGAACGCATTATGCGAACGTATTGTACGTAGATACATACGGTAGAGAATCAGGTTCGGTAACTAGAGGACGCTAGCGAGAAAAAAAACGCAGCCGGCCGGGACGAGCGAAGTTCGGAAGCAATCGATCGAGGTCGTGAAATTGCATAGTATTACTTTTCGAGGTCGTTCATTTGCGTCGTTCCAAGCTGCGGGCAGCAGCGTTGGCACGTGCGCAAGACTTTTTTTCTATTTGAGTTCACTGGCTCACCTGATCGTTTCGAGGTCTTGAAGTAGAACGAGATGTTTTCGTTCGTTGAAACGATTGCCTCTCGCTGCTCGAACTTGAGGTGCGACTCGCCATTGAGATACAGTTCTGCCGACTTCACCGCTGTGGTAAAGAATCAGGGGCGGAATTTTCGTGAGTATCGCTGAGCTCTCGAATATCTCAAATCGGAAATCCCCAGTTCGATTTCGTTATCAGCCTCGGAACTAGGCGCAAACTCCTACGCAACGGAATACCCCAGACGACACTCGGCCGTTCACAGACTTCTCGTTCCTATTCTATCACAGCCTGCGCCCAGCTTCAGGGATCTACTCGAGAAACTTCATGCCAGGCGTCTGGAACATGTCCCAGGTAGAGATTTCGATGGGTGTCTCTCTTACGTTTATCGCAGTATCGTCCCTTAGCATCGAGACCCCTGCAGTCGCAGCGTATTCCCTCGGATGTGGTCAGACAGCGTCCGCCGTGGCACGGATTCGGAACACACGTCACGTTCCGGCCAGTGATGTCTCGTGGAGAAGAAGGTGGCGGCGGCGACGACGACGACGACACGGCCTGTGGACCCACTCCATCCGGACTGGAGAATTCCACGTTGCGGATTTGGCCTCTGAAGTGTTGCTCGAAGAAAGCTGTCGTTAGCGCCAAGGTGCGTGTCTTGACGCTGTACCTGGAATGAAAATTTTCTTCGGTCACTTACGACCTAAGCTCCTCAGAAGTATACCGTGTTCTGACTCTGGTTTCGGGATTCGTCTCCCCTGAGCGAGCCGCCGCTCAGTAGGGCTTAATCCCTGCTGATCTCCGCCGCAGTCGAATCGATCGGATACTGTCGCCAACGAGATGCTGTGAATGTTTGCGCTGCTCTCAACGATATGCCGCTCGCCGAAAGAACGGCGCGAGCATTTAGTCCGTCAGATTCAATTCCATTAGGTATCCCGTCGTTGAGTTCGCTCGGCCGACTTCACGCGCGATGCATATTTCGCTCCGCTGCGGTATCGACGTGGATATATTCCCGATTCATTCGATCGCACAGAGATACGGCACAGAGTGTGAATAACGTCTGTCGCGGGCACCTGTGCCTACACGGGCTGTTATACACGAATCTTCCTGCAAAGTTCGGGATTCCGCTTGGCAACTGAACGTAGCCGTCCCGGACGAATAGACGCCCGTCGGACGTCAAGAATCAGACGAAAGGACGATGATCGGATCGCCGACCAGTCGTCGACGAGATTCTCCGTCGCGCCTACGTCACCTCTATTTAGTCGTCGACGCCGCCGCCGTCTGGGTCGTCCCGACGATCCAACCGGATGCAGTCCGATACTCTTGGTGTCTCGATGCCGGCTCGGTCGAACCTTCGACCGACCAACCGACAGACGTGGGGACGACCGGGCGAGCGAACAGACAAGCGAGCGGATGAGTTCACGATTGGTTGTGACGGTCTACGTGATGGGGCAGAAGCAGAATCCGGCCTTAGAGGAAGCTCAATGTTCTCCCTCCGTCGAGCCGTTCAATTGAAAAGACGCCTCCATAAATCAACGGGCCAACTGCTTCCATCCCCCGAGTGCGCCGACGAAGCACCTTCACCGCTTCCGTCTGACCGAAAACTCCGTGTTTCCGTCAACAGTCTCCCGGCTGAATTATCGGACACGCCTCCCCACACCGGCTGTGATGAGCTTTGGACACAGGCCAAGGTGAGCAGAGATCCCTCCGGGACTCTCCAGAGCGCCCGCGAGCCGCCACGGACTGCCAGCCGTGAAACGGGAAAGCGAGCGAGGTCAGGAATACCACGTTGCCAGATAGGGATTCCGAATCAACTATAAAAAAAAAACAGAGAGAATGCCTTTCGTATCTGTGTCGCGGGGAAGGTCGCTAGCGGGCTTCTCAAAGTCAGCCGAGCGTCGAGCTAATCAGCCGATCCCCGAGCCGCATTACGTCATCCATGGTGAGGTTGTGTCGCAATCCGCGGAAGCCGGCAGCGCGAAGCCTGTTGGGTGCTTTAAAATGCTGCTCCGAGGCTCGAAATCGACGTGACGTTATCGGTTGACCTCCGTCGAACTGCGTTGAGCGGGAAGAGCCGTCACACGGTGAGCGGGAGACCAATCGACCGAGCGGTCGGAGCGGAAGACCCTTGCTCTACTCTTTTCCCGCTCGCTTCTTCGCTGCGGAGTGATGAATCGTGCAGCACTTCTGTCGAGCTCCCTCAGCGGGACATTCCTCGCTCGGTGAGGTTCCGGGCTTGATAGAGCTACTCCTCGCTTAGGTCTCCAGCCGCATGAGCTCCGCGAGAACCGAGTTCCCGGGAAGTGAGCAATCCAAACAAGATCATGGCCTATCGAGGGTCTCCATCGAGGGAACACAATTTATGATGGGCGCAATAGACATTATACGGAGAATTTCCATAATGCCCTTCCGAGCGATCATGATGTGGAACTTGATAAACAGGCGTTACATTACGCGTCCTAGGAGGAAGCTGCCGGCGTTGATATGGAGATACATTTTTGGCAGAGCCCCCGGCAGAGTCCATAGTGAACTCATGGCCTGGAGGATCGCATTAAAAATTCAGGAACGTCATCTTTCCCCCACGGCTGTAGCGGCAGGTGCCGGAGCACCTCAGGCTGACTGCATATTCGACATTGCTCGGTGCACAAGATTCACTCGAATTTGTCCGCGCCGTCATCGGCTTCTCGTCGGATGGAGGAAGCGAGACCGTCGCGGAGAGAATAGGTGTCGACAGCCCGAAAGAGGTTTTTCCCGGGGCTCGGAGAGATCCGGGGACGTCGGAAGTAGAATATAATCATCGAACTCTTCTCCGTGGGGAAACTCCGCGCGTATTCGACAACGAGAGAGTTTCAGAATAATGAAATAAATCCTGGGATCTTGCGAAAAATGAAATGGATGAACTGTCGTCGGTGAATCGGCATTCTGGACTTGAGACTCTCAGACACTTCCCGATGGTGCCGGAACGAATTCCCGATTCGGACGGGAGTCGAATGAATGGAACTTCGTCAATTCCACGGGACGGTGCTGTCCCGCCACCGTCGACGGAGCAGGGAAGGCCGCAGCCAATGGAAAAAAAGAAGTGCATTTCAAATCAAGGAGCCGCAGCACCGCCACCACACATTCGCTTGCTCGCTCGCTCGTTCGTTCACTCACATCAAGTCGGTAAGGAGAAAAGCAAGAACCACCGGGGCCGGCCGGCAGCCGCAGCAGTAAGGGGCGAGCTCAATAAAAGAAGGAGTAGGAGAAAGGAAAAAGTAGTGGAAGAAGAATGAATCTCCCGCCCAATGGTCCGACGGTTCAGAACCACCAGCACCAACGCCGCAGCAGCTCCAGCAAGCCTCGCGAGCTTGTCTTGACATCCTGACTCCTTTCGATGGAAGAATATCCCCTTCACTCATAGCTCGACTGACCGACCTACGTACAGACTCTCTGTCTATCTGCCGTACTGCTTGTGAGGGCGCCGGTCTCCTGCTAAGTCAGTCAAGCTTCCTATCGGACTACCTACTATACTCGACGAGTGGAGCGGATGAAGAATTTCTCCGAGGAAAATGTAGGCTCGTTGTGTGCACCCGATGTCGCTATCGCAACTTCTCCCTCTCCGACCAGCGGGAGCCGCAGTAGCCTAGGGTGCGAGCGTTCGAATTATCGGTAAGGTCGCGAGCGATCGGATGATGCATCGTAGGCGATCGTGAGATGCTCAGGCAAAAGTATTGTCTCTGACAGATTCCTCACTGCGGCTGACGAAGGTGCGGGTCGGCGCGAGAGGGAATTCCCCGATCGAATCAGGAGCTCACTCATCCGTCGAGGGGAGTTTTTCCCCGAATCGACCGGGGCGAGTCCGACTGTTCAGATTGTCACGATTATGTCGGCATAGAAGCTGAAACGTCTTCGGGAGCCTCTGCTCGTCGTCTTCTCCATGGAATTCGTTCTCCATTGGTCCCACTCTCCCACTCACTCTTTCCATCTGGAGAACTCGCTACTCAGAAGAAAGAGGTGGCTTGCCGGGCTGCGTGCCTGCGCAGACCGAGAGAGAAACCCCACAAGCTACTCTGCCCTGGTTTTCCCTTTTTCTCTTTCCAAACAGGCCCTCCACCAACCCCTGCCTCGTCTCTCTATCGGGCCCCGCTTTTCGGGCCTCTCCGCCCGGGCCCCTTCCCTAGAAGCTTTGGAAATGATCGGGAGAGGAGCAGGCAGCCAGGTAAATGTTTTTCTATTGCTCTCCAAGAATTCTCCGGCAGATACTCTGCGCTGCACCAGGATGTTCGCGGCGTAGGCCTAGTTGTTTCTCCCCTCCTCCCCGACGGACTGCACCGGGAAATAAATTCACATCGGCGTTTCTCCGGCTTCACAGGGTGTCTGCAGGAAGCTACTTCGGAGGACAGAGCTCGCTCTTCGATTATGCATCTCTCCCCCGGACCAAGAGTCACCCAATTTACTGCGATACTTCGCACTGAAGAATTTTTTTTCTTAACAGCATCGAGAGCGACTATTATAGTGCGTAGTTCCTGGAATTTCTCGGTACGTTCCGACGAGCGTGACGGCGACCGGTGCGGCGTCTCCGCAGACGTTGTTTTTCCCGTTGTCGTTGGCGATGTCCCTGTCTATAATTGACGCCCTCTGACTTCAATTGATGTATCACGACCTGAAGGTCACCTCTTGGGGAGGAGGTCGACTTATCGTGGGCAGGTCGCAGAATAATAATCCGAGGTGCAATCTGTGATCACTATCCGAGAGAGCGAGCGAAAGACGTGGAGAATTTTCCCGAGAGCCATGGGAAAGGAATCAGGTCTCCTCGTCATACACTAGGCGTCTGCTGCTCAGAGCGTCAATCTGATAGACCGTGAGGAAATCGATGAAGCAACTCAATCGATGCTTTTCCGTGAGTTCAGCAGGAGATCGGAGTTCCTGTCGGACGCGACCCTCATTACTCGCGACCGCGATTCCTGCTCTGTTCCCCGTTTCAAGATTTCCTCAGTCGGAAACACGCTCGCGATCGTTCCAAAACATCCACACGTATGATTACATTTCTAGCTCGTTGTAAAACTGCGGGCTTTTGGTGATGACGTGCGCCGCTTCTAGTTGTAACAAATCCTCATGCGAAATCCCCCGCCTCGGACCTTGAACGCTCTTCGCAAAATTCGCGAAGTAGCGAGCTCCACGAGCCCTCATTACGGGAATCAAGGCTGGAATCGCTCCCGAGGCAGGAGTCGCATCGAGCCGTCTTCAGCGGCCCGAGCCTGCATGTTACAGCAGGTCCCCGAGAGCCGTACTCCTCTTCCTTCTAGACATCAAATTTGTTGCTCAACGAGTCGGACGGACGACCGATCATATTGGCAGCCTCTATCGAAGGAGGGCCTCCGTCGGCCTCATTGAGAATTCCGCTCCGTAGCGCCGGGTTCGTTTGTCGATATCTCAGGAGAATTGTGATTTCGGTTCATCGCCGCCGATCGATACTTGAATTCATTGATAAATTGTGCTCCGATGCGCGCAGAGAAACGCCCCTCTCGTGGAATGCATTGCGAACAGTTTCGATTAATCACAAACAATAATAAGCCACCAATGCAAGGTGTTTTAGAGCTTGAGAGACGTATGTAGAGCAACGCCCACCCGCTAAATGTCAGAGTAGGCACCTACATGCATGGAATATGAACGTCCTCGGCTCGATGATCG